CCATTAAAAAATGAAAAGAACATACAGTTAGAATTTTAAGTGTATTCTTGATTATGGAATTTTATTATTACATATATATATATATGAATATAGTTATTTAGTTACTTAAAACGGGTTTTGAGTACCTTAAACTTTTATGCTTCTGGATGTTACCAGAGATATGTTGGTAATGACAGATATATAGGGCTGAGCCAGAAATATGTCAGTTGGTGTATTTGAGAAGTTACAGATGCTATTTGTTCTGGTATCTTCACCATATGGATAAAATTAACAGTAAGAAATTTTCTACAAAACAAAATCAAATTACGATTCAATCGAATGTTTGGACTTCCAGGTGTCATCGACGCTGAAAATGGTACCAAAGTATCTATAATTGCACCTAATGACACGGGAAAATGCCAAGTTTCATCCATATAAACATAAAATCCTTTCATTCGCTTAATGTGCACTTGATATAAAATGTTTCCTTCCATTTTATGTAATATATATATAACAAAACATGATAGCTGTTTGGAAAAAATAATTGGCGACCTCAGAATTAACATTCTAAATTTGGTGATCTGCCTCTAAATTCATCTCTTCTCACAGGTTCAGATTTTTCTATCTGACGTAACATTTTAATGCATTCCTTTTGTCCAATTAAATTAATTGTAAACCAAAACTCTGAACTAAAACTAATCCAACTCCCACCCTTCTTCCTCTGAAGTTCAATGATACTCTGCCCCTTTTTCTGCATAGCTCTCCTGTTGGCAAGACGCTTTTAAACTATGCTGCTGCTTACTTACTTAAAATGTTCTACTTCAAAATGCAACTTATTGTATTCAAATATAATTAGGAAAATGGATGAAAAAGGATGATTTGATATGCGTAAAAAAACAAAGATTGTGATTTTTCAAGATACGTTGTGCTAAATTGCGTCATCATGCTTTACACTCTGCCAATAATGTCTTCTCGGTCATCTACGCAGTATCGTAAGCTGTTAAAGTTCTAGTGCCTTCTACGCATTTTTAAAATCATTATATATATTATATATATATATATATAATATAATGTGTGTATGCATTTATATGCAAGATGATAGTTTTTGTGATTTAACCAACAGTTACAGAATTTTTTTATTTTCCTTTTTATTTTGTTAAAAATTTGTTATATTTTTACTCACTAATAAATCGTTTTTTAATCCATCATTCCACAGTTTTCTGCTAATTGATATCTACGATACAAAGTATATCTGTAGTTACGTGGTAAATATAAGTCATAAATAAATAAAATTATTAATAAATTCATGAGTTGCTAAAAATTAAAAATTTTTTTGATTCAAATTCAATAAGAATATTAAACACGCGCACTCGATGCTATATTTCAGTGATTTGATTTATGACATCGTTGCATAACTTTTAGACAAGAAAAAATTTTAATCGTAAAATTTCTGTTAACAAATAGTTTACAAACACGTAACCTTTTAGAAAAATGTTCATGAAACCTTTTAGAAAAAAAAAAAAAAAAAAAATTGCAACCTTTTAGAAAGTTGAAATTTAAAAAAAAATTGGCAAAAGTTCGTACGTAAAATTATACTTACGTTTCTTCACATACCTGAAGTTTTGAAAAGGCCATTTTTGACGTTTAAAATATCCATTAACTCTTCCCATTTCTTTCTTTCTATGATCTTTACTGAATGTGCTATCCAGTTTGTAGAGTTTTCCTTATTTTGCACAACAAATTTATTTTAAGTTTGATACCTATTCTAGACTTCTCAACTTCCCCTCACATTTTCTCGCCAGGATGTAAATTTAAAGTTAAGTGAAGTACATATTTAAACGGGTGAATATCTGAGTTTTTCAGAACGTGTTTCGCTAGCCAAGCGCATGTTTCGTTGTTATTTTGCTGTTACGCTAGTTCGCTCTTGACCATATAGATTTAGAATCACGCCGGTTAGGTTCGTGTGGGTCCACCTCTTAGGCGTAACATAAGTGCTATCTTGCACTATTTATTTTAGAATTGACTTACATTACATTCTACGTTTAGTTTTCACCGCAAGTTGACGGTGTTTTCGTAACGCACGAAGACCATGCCCTTCTGTTAAGTATTTTGAATTAATGAAGGGTTATTTTCACCATTCGTCAAATCAGTTTTATTCACGCCTGTGCGAGAATTCGTCAGGTCATTATAGGGTTTATTCTAGTGTATGTGGAACAAAAGAGAAATACTCTATAAGTTTACCGCTTAATAACAGCGGATTGTTTCGAAAAATTTGACCATTTACTGGAACTTGTTGCTTTTTCTTTTTTCTTTTCTTTTTTTTTTTTTGCTACCGGTTATCCTCAGTAATAGTAAGCACGTGCGAAACAGCCCCTTTTGACAACAAACTACCCCCATCCCCTGAGCCTTGAGCAATGTAGAGGAGAGACAGACTGGTTGCTATGCAATAAACGTCACTTCCGCACGGAATTTCCACTTCATTTTCCGCCGACGGAATTTGAAGGGATCAGACTCATTCTTCCTTCTGCTGTCGAATGGAAAGAGAATCCCGAAAAGTTTTCCTATATCGATCTCGACCGGTGTCCAGACTAGGAGCCGTATTCTCCTAGCGTGCGACGAGATCTCGATACGAGAGTGACGTCACATATGAAGCGTCTTTCGTGCGGAGCGACAATTTGCAATTCTCGAGCACCGATCGAAACCAACGACTTCATATAACAGGATGATACAGTCAAGTAGTAGATGGACTTGAATTGAAAGACAATGCAGTGTATTTTTGGACTGATTCAACTGTTGCTTTAACTTAGTTCAAAGATGAGAGTTCTTGGAATACGTTTGTAGGAAACAGAGGATCTAGTCTGGACACCGGTCGAGATCGATATTGGAAAACCAGACGGGATAAAACTACTTATATAATTTTTTAACTCAAAGCAACTTAATGTAAATGTTGAATTTAGGATGTGCATAGTTTGAATTATATACTGCATAGTCTTTAATGCATGTCTAATGTATTACATTTTTATATACTACAAATTCAAATAAAAGTAGAGGGAAATACATTTTAATTTAAAACATAAAATTTCAATATTTATAAATTACTCATCAAAACATGAAATTATGTACATTGATATATACATTAGTTTAAAAATTAAAATTTTAAATTAAAAGTATGCACCGCTTCTTTAATATGTGAAATAGGAAAAACACGAAAATATTATTTTCACTAAAATTTAATTAAGGCTTTGATAATGTAGAATAAATATATAATGTAGAATCGTCAGCATCAAATGCGTTATTTCTATAGCGAAATACTCAAGTTTTTCACAAATCTTAAAAAATTAAAATATCTATTACGTACACTTTCAAAAACAATCCGTGACCTCCGCCGTCCTCAGTTTAGTTCTAAAACGACAGTCAGAAACTTAAACGGCAGCTGTCCAGCTGACGGAAAAATTTCCGACGCGTCGATCTCTGTAATGATCGAGACGATGACACCAGACTCGCTCTGTGTCGAGTAGATCGAAAAAAAAAAAAAACGACCCGTTCTTCTATCTCGACGGTGTCCAGACTAGGGCCCAGAGTCAAAGAAATAAGAAAGAATACCAACCCTCCAACAGCCGCCTGGTGGGAGTGCATGATTAGAATGTTGAAAGAGATGCTAAGAAGAATTTTGGGCAGAAAACGTCTTGACTACGAACAGTTAAAAACTATTTTATGTGACTGCGAAGCTATAATAAACTCTAGGCCACTTACATATATTTAAGACAATTCGGAAGGTCTCCCGATTGTTTCTTACAAAGTATTCCTAGCAGTGAAAAGCTGATTTAAACGAAATCGGCAGTAAAAGCCTAAGTATAAGATTGCATTTAGTACAAATATTAGGGCATATTTAAGAATGAGATTTCAGAATGGGTATTTAGCAATGTTAATTCATAAAAGTAAGAGCCGGAAAGAATCTTGAAAAGTTGGGGAGGTCATTCACCTAGAAACTATTGGCAAGCGTATCAACTGGTCTTTAGGAATCGTCAGTGAAGTCTTTTCTGGAGCAGATGGGTACTCATGAATTGCCAGAGTGAGAACTGCTGATGGAGAGAAGTTGAGACTATTCCAGACTTTATCCGTTACAAATCAACAGTTCGAAAAATTTGCCTCAAGATGTTTGAAGGGATGAAAGTCCCTCTATCAAGATGCCTCTACGCCCTGCAACTAATGATTCAGATTCCGGTGAAGATCCTAGATTTTGTCAGTAGAGATGGTCGACGTGTTAAAATTCCCAACAGACTTGATTTATAACTTTTGTTGAAATTTATAGCCATCCTACAAGGCGGTGATTATTGAAAAGCGGGAGGTTGTTTGAGTAATTCAACTATTCAACTCTATTTAAACTACAATTTAACTCGTTTTAAGATTTTATGTTTAAAAAAAATAAGCTTTATCGTTTTTGTAAATATACTTCTTCTAAATTTGTAAATATCTGCAATCAAAGTGTTTTTTCATATTAAATCCATAGTTATCTTCGAATCTTTTAAAAGTGTTAAACAAACATGGCGCTTACTCCTGTTTCAATACGAGCTGACTAAAATTACGAAATAGCAAATATTTTCCTCCTTAAGTATTTTTATATCCATAAAAAATCATTACTGACACTTTATGCTCTGTATTTACACAATGTAACCAATCTTGCATTAATCAGCTCTCGTTCTATTTCAAGGGTTTGGAATCTTCTCCTCTATATGAATGGAAACACTTTTATTTTATAAATACTTGTGTTCACAGTAAAATTTTAACAGTTTACTCTTTGCCTCTGAGAACATAAAAGTAACTAATATTTGAGTCTTTACTATTTACTTGATCTGCCATAATAAGCTGTTTCTCCCTTTTTTGGTGTCGTAGTTTACTAATTTACTCTTTGTTGTTTGACTCCTCATTTGATGGCCTCTTAGATGAAAGTAACTTACATTGATTTGAAAAATCTGGCATCACTATCACCAACAATGAGGAAAAGGGGGGGGGCAGAGGTTAGCGTGAGAATATGATAAGTTAAAATTTTTTTCACGGAGTTGTTGATCTGTGAATCGCCATTAGTGTTCTTTGGCGCATGCGTATGGTAGATATTATATGTGAAATGAGAATTTACGCAATTGTTTGCTGAGACTATCTACGTTTTTTTCTTTTTTTCGTTCGTCAGTTACTATTATAAAAGTTTTCAGTTGGAGGTTTAATAATTTCCTGTTAGCCTAGAGGAATGTCATCTGGTAGAACATCTGGTGCAAATACTACTCCGCTAGGACGCCCGAATCCAGCAATGCTTGGATCGAAATCTACAAGTATGTTAAAACCCAGTTATATGTCGCCTTCCGGCGGGAAAAGAGATCGTGAAGATGATTATGATTACCGTAAGTAAATTTGTATATTGTCTTATTAATCGTAAATGTGTGAGTTTCTTACAATGTTTCCTTTTATGTGGAAGTTGAACCCCTATCTAATTGTCCAAAAACCGCATTATATTTATCCGAGTTTCTATCACAGTACTACTACTTATCTAAGTAACCTGCACTTTGTCAGAGAAATGTAGATGTTCAAACAACTGAGACTGAATAGTTTATAAGTGAATAATTAGCAAATAATGGTAAGCAAAATTGACATGTTCAGAACGTTCGTAAAGCAGTGACAAAATGAAATCATCCAGGTGAAAATGAATATAATGAGTTTATATGTTCGATGAAATACACTAAGTTGTTAATGCATTTATTTTTTTAAAAATCTTTTGACAAGAGCTTTAAAGTACGATTATGGGGTATTTACTTCTTTCATTTGGGACATTTATTTATGAACGTTATTTTCGTATACTTGGGACTTCAGAAGCTTTAGCATTTCATGTAGATGATATTACTTGTGTGGTTAATGGAGATTTTTTTTTAATATTTTAGAGTATGCAGTTTTTACATATTTTAAATGTCTTTGCAGTTGTATTAGTAAAAAAAGGGAAATATTTTTTTAATCTCATAATTATTTAACTTCCAGTGTAAGAACGTTATGTTTGTTAAAAAGACATAAAATGGGAAGTATTAGGTGTTCTGTATGTTTGCCAAATCAGTCTTTTGTAATGTGATATTACAGTAAATTTGTGATTATATTACTATCAATTTGTTAGTTATATATTTTGTGGTGAGTTATTTAAATTTTAACAAGTCATGAACTTTATCTTTTAAAAGGCAAATATAATATCAAATCCTAATTAAATGTTTTACTTTTTATAAGCGTAGAAAATATTAGTAATTGCGCATAAACAACAAAACTTTGTAAAATTTGGAAAAATAGTTAAAATTGAATGTATATCACCTAAATTACTTTAAATAATAAATTTAATTATGGTGCACATTTTATGCCTAAAATCCTAAAGCTACTCTATGGGTTATTTTCTTCTTTCCTGTTAGTTGACCTTCTTGGTAAATTCTGGGGCCAAGCAATGGTTTTTCTAAAAATGAAAGTTTTATTTGCGATTAAATTGTCTGAAGGATTTCCATTTAAGGAAATTGTTATTAAACTTTAAGTATGCTGTTCCATTAAAGAATACTGGATATTATATCAGTGGTTGAGTGGTTAAGACAGATGAATACTGGTATTTCAGCCTAGTTTCGGTTCAGACTGAGGCAAAAAACTAGCTTCGTAATTCTCAATGTTTTCCTGATATGTAATTTGAATACAAACAGTATTTCCTGAGGAAGTCATATCCCCTTCATGGCTTCACCATATTCAAATAACCTAATCTCAATTAAAGAAAAATTTGTTATGGATGGATAAATTTTTCAAACTCCTTTAGTTTCAGCACAATTGATAATTATAGTTTTCATAATGACTTTAGCTTTTTTTAAACTGTTTGTAATTTTGTTATGCAATTGTGATTATAGCAAAGCCTTGAGAGCTATCTGCCAAAGGGGAAGAATGTCTTCGTGGAGGACTTTCTAAACAAATTGACTCGTATACACATTGCACATGGGGCCCACCAGCGGCCGAGCAGTAAAGTTGCTGAACACTGGTAGTTCGGTCCGAGGTTCGAATCCCACGAACGGGCTGGCTGCATGGGCGTTTTCGTGGTTTTCTCCATGTGTAATGTGTATACGAGCCAGTTTCCCTTAGAAAGTTCTCCACGAAAGGCATTCCTTCCGTTAGGCAGATAGCCATCGAGGCTTTGCCATAATCACATACACACACATTGCACATGGGGAAAACCACAAAAACGTCCATGCAACCAGCCCATTCGAAGGATTTAAGCCTTGGAACTAAATTGTCAGTGCTCAGCAACTTTGTCACCAGGTGCTAGTGGGGAGAGCTGGCACCAGGCCTTTTGTTTCACATTCAGTGTCAAAAGTTTATTCGAATTAAATATTTCCTCTTGTTTATTAAAATGAATGGTAAAATTTTGATTAGGTGTCTCTCCCTCTTCATGTTTTGTAAAAATTTTGATGCATTTAAGTTCTGCGCTTGAATGTAGAATTGGGTGCTCCTTCGATTAGTGACAATTTAAAAAAAAATTTGGCGATAAAATCTCTCTTCTGGTTACCATGATAGTTTTAACTTTGTTTTAGCTTTCTGATTTTATTTAAATGAAAATAGATTGATATATACATGGACAATTTTAAGGCAGTGTGCAATGCCTAGTTTGTGCAATTCTAGGAGGTTTTTTAGGTAAAAACAGATCGGTGTGTACATGGACACAGAGTTTGTGCAATTCTTTGACTTCTTATTTTGGTTTTGTGTAGTGGCCATCTTGAAATTGTGCCTTCCTGACCCCGATCTTTGCATCAAAAAAGACTCGCCAAAAAACAAGGGGCACCCAATTGTAAACTTTTACCAAGTTCTGCTTCTCAGTACATCCCTTAAATTTTGCTGCTTGGTACTTCTTAAAATTTGAAAAAAATTGTAACCCAGTGTAGCCACATTGGCTCTAGCACCAGCCCTACATTTGACTAAACCTTAAAAAAAAAAAAAAAAAAAAAAAAAAAAAACTAGACGTAACTTTGATTGGGTAGAGTAGACTTTAAGGTACCCCTTGTATTATGGCAAAGTTGTTGTTTGATTTATCGCGAAGTTGTTGCTTCATTTATGGTAGCCTGAGTAGTTGAATAGTATGGAAACCCTATTGTGACGTAATCGGGTGCATGATTCTGGGAAATTTTGAATCGTGGGATGTTTTGTAAGCGTTTATGTGGTGTGTGTTGGTTTGATTCTTTAGACGGTAGAATGGCCGAATGTAGTAAGATTAATTTGAAGTTTCTGTACGATTTGGAGCGAAAGAGGAAAAGAGCTTTGATTGGTGTGTAAATGAAGGTTTACTTAGTAGCCATTATAAGTGTTCTGTATGTAGGAAGGATATGCGTCTAGTCGAACATAAAAACCGTTTAGATGGATTTTAATGGGTTTGTAGAAAAAAGGTTCAGATAGTCACTATGTGAAGCGTTTGATCAGAAAGAGTACCTGGTTTGAAAAAAGTCATTTGAGTATGATTGATATTTTGATTTTTACGTGGCTCTGGGTGTACAAAGCGAACTCGAAAATCATTGTAAGTGAATATTTGCTTTTGGTAGTGCTTAAATGTATAACATGTTTTTCCTTTTTTATGTTATTTTATTGTTTGGTTTAAAATGTATTTTATTGAGATTATGTATTTTTTGTTTGCCTAATTGTAAAATTTGGTGCTCCTTTGACTTTTTAAGTGAAAATATATTGATGTATACGTGGACAAAGTAAAGGGAGTGGCGCAATGCAAGTTTGTGCAATTCTGGGAATTTTTTTTAAAGTAAAAATAGGTCGATGTGTACATGGATAAAGTTAAGAGAGCACAATGCCATTTTTGTGCAATTCGGGGATTTTTTTTAAAGTGAAAATAGGTTGACGTGTACATGGATAAAGTCAAAGGAGTGCGCAGTGTCATTTTTGTGCAGTTCGGGGATTTTTTTTTAAGTGAAAATAAGTCGATGTGTACATGGATACCGAGTTTGTACAATTGTTTGTCTTGTTTTTTTGGCGCAAAAATCGCCACTTCGCAAGCCAAAATAACGAGTCAAAGAATTGCACAAAATCGGTATCCATGTACCGCCCGAAATCCCCAAGTTTCACCAAGGGGTACCCTAAACTATACTTTTACTCTTTGATTTTCAAGGAGAGAAAGAATATTGTAAATAAAACTGTTATTATGATACACAAAACTTATTTTTCCTGGAATAAATAAACAAGCAAACAAAGCAGGGGCAGGCAAATTAAAGACAAATTCAAGAAAGTGCTCTTGTAAACCTCCTAAAGCTCACCATTGGTAGTACTTAAATCTGCATATTGTGTCTGTAATAATATCATGTCATTATCTGTTTACAGTGTATAGGTATTGCTTGTCTTCCATAACTTTAGCTGTTAGATTTAGCGTATTGAGATGTCAGTATTTTGTAGATTAAGCAACATTCAATAAGTAACTGATGAGTATTACAACTATTTCAATATATAATAATAGTATTGAAATATCTGGAATAGTAAGTACCTTTCAGCTTAAGGTAAACCATTCAATCTTGGCAAATAATGAAAATTTGAACCATGTGTTTTTTTAGTGTGATAAATTGGTGAACTTATGTGTCTTCACTTTTTCATAGTGTATTGTCCTTCAGAAATTTAATAATTCATTTCTTCTGTCCCAAAAGCCAGTTTATTATAATAATAGTATTGAAATATCTGAAATAGTAAATACCTTTCAGCTTAAGGTAAGCCATTCAATCTTGGCAAATAATGAAAAATTGAACTATGTTGTTTTTTTAGTGTGATAAATTGGTGAACTTATGTGTCTTCAATTTTTCATAGTGTATTACAGTGAAAACTTAAAAAATTAATAGTCCTTCAAAAATTTAGTAATTCATTTCTTCTTTCCCAAAAGCCAGTTTATTATATACAGTACTATTAAAAATTACTTCCATTCAAAGCATAAATGAGTTTAATAAATGGCAATTTATTTACTGCAAATTGCAATAAGTTTTAAACTTCTAAAGTAAAATTATAATTAACAATTAATTTATTAATTAACCCTAAAATAATAATTAAAATTAATATTAAAATTAAACTATGTACATGATTTTTAAATTCATTTTTTAATTTTTTATAAAAAAATAATTTTATAATAACATTCTTGATGAAATTCAATCTCTTACAACTAACTGTTCTATCGGTTTTTGGTCTCATAATATTCAACGGTACTGTTCTGTTATCAGGACTGAATTGTATGTATGGATGCATGTGTGCATGTATGTATTTGTACATACATGTATCCATGTATACACACTATCCATATCCATGTATACACCATTTGTATACATACACTTTTAAATCTGGTCTTGATAACAGAGAGTACCTATTCAATAATAGTTTTTCAAATGTATTTTCAATTTTGTAAAACTGTTGATAGCTTAATTTTTTATCACCACCTTCGAGTTCAAAAATATTTCTTATATTGTCTTGGGAAAATGCTTTTCAATTGATGATTGCGCGTCGCGGCGGGCGCGCAATGAACTGGAAGTTGATCTGTCAGCATTATCGTTATCTTCAGGGCAGATGTTTTTATTTTATTCGGCTTATAATTCCGTACCAAATGTAGTATTTCATCTTGACGTACTCCGTCTTTGATATGATTTAAATCAAATTCCTCGTCATTTTAAATATCACGAATACAAATCAAAAAGTTTTCTGGTTGCAATTTTCTAATTTCGCCTATGCATAATGTACACATGCGCGCGTTGAAAGAAATGTTTAATAAAGTAAACAAATAAATATTAAGCTTTTGTTTTTGGTAAATTTTGATACCCTTTATATCATAATTGCTCATTATTTTATAAATTACGGTTTCATATTTTTAATTTTATAATTTCTGCATGCCATCTTACCAGATTTAAACTGATGATCTATAATCCGGAAAAATTGATAATCCGGAATCGCCGAAGTCCCGACGAGTCCGGATTAAAGACTTGACTGTATAAGCAGCTTGACCAAAAAAAACATTGGCTAATAACAGACTCTGTAAGAATAAAATACCAAGAGAGGCTGTTAATTATGAACAAAGTTCTTCATTTGAATCAAACCTGATAGTTGGGCTAGACATATCTGCTGATGATAGCATTTTTGATCTGGTTCGTATTAAACATGCACTCTTGTATCAAGTAATGCTGTGAACATATTCCCAAATTTACTATATGTCGTGTGTATTTTTTTTACACTATATTTTTTGCCCAGTTTCCCAAGAAATGTATCTATCGTGTAGAAAAAGAGTGTATTTCTTGTGTATCAAAATTTTAGTTTAATTTTTCTTTTCTTCTTTGTTATTAAGTTTGTCAAAATCCTGTTTAAAAACTGAATTGAAAAGCAATTATTTGACTGCAGTAAATTGGAACTGTGCTTATAAACCTAGTACCGTGTAGCGTAGTATTATCTCGTGACAAATTTTTTGTGTGACAAGCTAAAATTATGAAGACAAGCGATACCTTTTGCAATTATTACCAATAATTGCATCTTCATGAATAATTATCTAATCAGAATCTTCAAAATGGCCACCAGAAGAATCTTGGTCCTCAGAGCAGGCAGAAAAGGAGAGGGAGCGGAAAAGGAAAAGGAGATCTCGTTGGGGTGGAGATGAGAAAGAAAAGGTGTTCATTCCTGGTTTGCCGACAGTATTACCAAACAACCTGAATCCCCAACAAGAGAGAGCATATTTATGTAAGTTTCCAAATTTAACAGTTTTTAATGCTTTTGTAAGAATTAATCTTTGTGTAATGGCAGGAGTGTATGGAAATATTAAATTGCAACTCAGTAAAAGCAGGAAGTAATATAACCAACGTATGTTTTTATTTATACATTCGCATTTTATTTTTTTTAAATTGTGAATGAGCCATTTTGTAATAAATAATTAGATGCATCTTACTGTTAGTATATAACTTTTTATTTAGTGATTTCAAATTAAAATTTTCTGGTTAACTGAGTGTCTAAATTATAAACAAAACTCACATAAATTTTATAGAAAAATAATAGTTTTTCTGCTTTACTTTTGATTTTGTTCTTTAGTATAATTACGTTATAATTCTAAAGTTTCTTTTGTATTAAATTTTTATTTATAGGTATTTTGTGTAATTATATATTTGTATGTGATTATTTAATTTTTTTTCATTAATCTGCCTTGTGTTTTGTATTTTTGCACAGAAATATGACTTAATTTAATCTTATTTATTATTTTTCTTCCATAATTTGACAGTTGTGACACTTATTTCACATTTTCATGCATAAAATGTCAAAATTCGTTCCAAAATTTCTGTAGAAGAAAACTTGTTTCAAGATTTTTCTTCATCAGTGTCAGAATTGTCTGAATACTGTTTGGCTGTGTTTTTGAATTGTAATTATTAGACAATAAATCATAAACAGCTATGCAGATATGATCAATATTATGTAAGTAAAACTTTTAGGGCTTCATAGTTATTCATAGTAGCAAATAATTTTTGTTACTATCACATTTGAATTCTTTTCAGCCAACAGCTTTTTTTTTTTTTTTTTCATATATAAGCATAGCACTACCAAAAATACTGTTTTCATATGAAATTTACATTATTGTTTCAGGTATTTATTTTTTACATATAATTTTTTAAGTAATATTGGATTCAGCAAATCATAATTCAGATGCATTGAGGATATCTGATATTTTTCTTTTCTGAAAGCATTATGTATTTTTACATGTAATGTATCAACAAGACATGAATACTTATTTGTTGTGAATTATGTGTTATCTTTGTCAAGAAATTAATTCTAAAATTTTTCTTTGTTGGTAATTGGTATTTGCTGTCTCAAATATAGAACTTTAATGATTGTTACTGTATTTTTCTTTAAATATGTTATGTTTAGTTTGATTTTAAAATATTTATTTTTCATCTTGGATCTTTAAATGTATTTGTAGTTATGATTGTTTATTTTGTATATGTTGGGATCCTTTTCACAGGTGAGGATAAACAGATTTCTGTAGTGAAAATTTGCGTCATGTTTTAACTACATTTGTGTTAATTAGGGGCTATTGCCCCATTTTCTAACCCCCTCTCTTACAGTGCAACTGCAGATTGAGGAAATAAGTAGACGTCTTCGTACCGGTGATCTTGGCATCCCTCCTAATCCTGAAGAAAGGTTTGGCTGCTAATAACAGTAAACTTTCAAACTAATTCTATAGGATTTTCCTGTTATTATTTAATGCTACTATTATTATTATTATAATTACCATTATTATTACTGTATCTAACATGTAATTACATTTAATCATCCAATATTGAAATATTTCTCCTTGCTAGATTTTATTTGCACATATAGGATAATAACAAGCATCATTATAAAATATATATTTTCTGCTGTAATAGAAAATAATTTTGAAATATTTGATTCTCTTTAATTTTTTAAAGTGATTTGGTAGTATAATATAATAAATATTTTATTTAGCATTCCATGTTTTTGTCTGCTTAGCAGGTAATTAATTTTGAATAGCAACTGTTTTTCTTGTAGATTGTAAAGGGGTAAAACTAGTTTGCAAAATTTTGAAAGGAAGGGAAATGGTCTTTTAGTAAAAAAAGGCATAACTTTGCAGCTTTAGAACTGTTGAGCATATGAAACAGCTAATATAATTTAAATTTATGAATGGTTTTTTGTAGAAAATACGTGACACCTATAAAAGCATACCATTTACATAAAGGTAAGATTTTAACTTGAAAACTTGATGAAATAATTTGTTTCAACTATGTCAATATTAACTTATTTTCATTTTATGTTTTCATTTGCCTCCCCCCCCCCGCCATTTTTACATATAACTGTTTTATTTATCACTGTTTGGTTCTCTGTATGTGTAGATTATTGGGTTAATTAATGATTATAAGAAAATCAAATGAAAGCCTGTCTGTTTCGGGAGGGATGCCTTTGATGAAGTACTTATTAAAACTAGTCTAACATATGCCACATAAGTGGAGAAAATGTAGTAAATCTTTAATGTTAACTTGGTGTATCTTTTAAGTTAAACTACCAGGTTTTTTAAAAATGCTTTTACAAATCTTCATTTTTATTTGATTGGAAAATGTAATGCTAAATTCTAAGCAAGAAAATGTGAATATAACATAATCAAATTACACTAGTAATCTGCCCTTTAAAGTTCCTGAGTATGGTGTGCTTATTTTGTCAACTAGAGCTTATGAGTAAGCCTATTTTGTCAACTAGAGTTTATGAGTAAACTTCTAAGCATATACAGTTCACCGTTGTTTTAAGACTAATTATATTGTATCATAGTATGGATGCAGGAGGTCTCCACCTAATAAGAATGTATTAAGTTCTTTATAATTACCACTCATTAGTTTTTTTTTTTTTTTTTTTTGTGATGAACATTAGTAAGATACTTAAGAAATGCCTAATATTTATTGTAAAATTATTATAAGAGTATAAAAACAGATATTTATTGAACAGCTAGCTTATTTTAAATTTTTCATTCATTCATTTCATACAGTTGAATAAAGTGCTTTCTTAAAAAAAAAAAAAAAAAAAAAAAAATTAGTTGAAAGAAAAGTTATATGGTACCTCTCTGAGTTAATAGCACATTAAAATGTAATTTTGAATACATTCAGAAAATTATAAAGTTTACTTTTAGCAAATTATATTAAAAGGGAATTTATTAATTTTTCTTTTTTTCTTTATGAATATTGTATTAAACATGTATTTATATATCTATTACTTTAATAGCTTTAATATTATGCACATATTTGAAAACATTTTCTGTTGTGAAAGTAAATATTTATATTGTTAACCCAGCTAATTGTTTTCATTTTCTTAATGTCTTAGAGAAAATTCAGAATTCCCCCCTAAGTTAGGTTTTTATCTTTATCCATTGATTTTCAGGAACTGCATATTGAACATTTTGTAGAAAATTTGTCAAGTCTAATGTCACATGCATGACTTTATATTTCATCTCATGAGCATACATCTTTTTAAGAAGAGGAAAATTTAACTATATATCCATATGGTTTTTGACAACATGCATGAAAAATATATTGATCTGATATTTGTAAAATGCTTTCAAATTAGATTTCTAATCATTCTTTTTTTTTTTTTTTTTTTTGGTTAGTCTTTAATATAGGTTTTAAATGTTGGTGAAAATTCTAATCATGTATGCAGCTGTTTTGTAAATAAAAAGTATATAATTCCCAAAAATAATAAGCATATGCGGCAACAAATAATGGTGTGAAAATCAGTTTTATATTTATAATCAGTTTTTTTATTTATTTTCATGGATTTCTTTTTGAAACAGTTTCCACATTGGCCTTCTCTAGGATTTCTGCAAGAAACCATACCTGTGTCTTCTCAAACATTGAAGAGGCAACTTCCTTGAAAAAAGCAGTTGTTCTACTGAGGTTGCTTTTGGCTTACCCAAAGGAAACTTCTTGATTTAGTCATTAAAAATATTCTTTTGCAGCAATAATCTTTTGTATCTTTATGGTTTGCTCATCATCTACATAATTGATCATTGCATCAATTGTTTATTCCTATTTTTCTCCCTTGATTTAGGTTTTCTTTGAATGGTAATAAAGTTACATGAAACAAATTTCTGTTTTTAGATTGTGAATTAGAATATCTTCTCTGTTTAGGCAATTTAGAAATAACTGTAGTTATATAAGAATTTCAAGTGCTAAATTTAACATCTGGAGACTTTATAGCTTCAGAATTAGTGTCTCCATTTGTGATGGTTTTAGAAAATATATGTTATCCATACAAACTTTAAGTTCATCGTATGTTTTTGTTACAATGGAGATGTTTTTTCAGGTCTCCTTCTCCTGAACCAATATATAACAGTGAAGGAAAGCGTCTGAACACAAGAGAGTATCGTACACGCAAGAAATTGGAAGATGACCGTCACAGTTTAATACAAGAAATGTATAGTTGTAATCCTGAATATAAACCTCCTCCTGATTATAAGTAAGCATATTATTTAGATATTTTGTAGAAACAAGGATTGATGTGGCACTGAATTACATTTTATATTTTAATGAACAAATAACTTAGTGTACTTCTTACTTAAGCTTCCTTCTGATTATAAATAAGTTATTTAGTAGGAATAAAGATTGGTGTGGCACAGAATTATATTTTGTGTTTTAAGGTATAAGAAACTTTTTTATTCTTTAAGTTTCATAGTATACTTTTGTTAGAAAGTAATAAAAGAAGTAATCTCTAGTCATGGTGAAAGTTGAGTTGTAATGTATAAATGGTTATAGAAAGGAAACTGTTATGATCTCAGAGCAGTTAGGCCATTCTGTTTTTATAAAACAGCTTTGATGTAAGAATGTATCATAATATTTTGTACATGTGTTATACATACAAGTAGTTATTCATTATCAAAAAGACAAGCAGCTAAAAAAATATCTTAATATACATTTTTGTCAGCATAGACATTCATTCTTGGATGATATTTGATCAGTGTGGCATTAACCTGACCGATAAAGAGTATTGCTGTTGTGAAAGCAGCCTTGAAATTGTCATGCCATATCTAGTTAGGAATTTTTTGTTTAAAAGTAATGTGGAATGCTGTCGTAAGAATGGTAACACAAGTCGCAGAATGTCGGTATGCTTTGCTACTGTGAAAGCAGTATAGAGCATGCTTGTCCAACCCAAAAGATTTTGTGGGCCACTTTAGAAATGCGTATCATTCTGATGGACTATATTATATGTGTGCAATAAAATGAAAAGGTTGAATTCGTAGATGTTGATCCATACTTTTTTAGATATTCTTGAAGCCAAGTATATGTAATAAGACATAGTCATTTCAAATTTAATTTCATTTTTATCTTAATTTGAAATTTATGGCCACAATTAACTTGGCACACTAATTGTGGCTGTTCCAAAACATTTTCATTTTTTATCACTTTGCCGTAAAAAGAGAGCTGAATGCAGCAGTCTGTCTTAGGCCGAGGAGCAGAAGCGAAGTGTGTTGTGTTCGGGACAAAATCTTAATTCAGAGTGGGTTAGTTTTTATTTTGATCATTAATAAAACTCTAAAAATTATTAATAGCTGTTTTCCGTCTTAGCTCATAAAAGCAATTTACATCACCAGTGTTATGCAAAAGTTATACGATAAGGATTAATCTGGGAATGACGCAGTCCAGAAGCATTTCTTATTAGCAATTACTATTTTTTAATAGAAATTCGAAAACTCTGATTAAAATGAAGGAGTAAGGGGCTATTGCAAATATAAATTAGAATTTTGATTTACATGTGCATGTGCTTGACATTAAACTTTAAAACAGAATACATTATTATGTTTTTTATTATTATTAAAATATTTATTATTAACAGAAAAATGTAAACATTTATGACTATATATTAATCAGCAGTAATAATCAATAAAACAATCAAATAATATTATATTTAGTATAATGAATTCGATATTTTTATCTGTGTTCTTTCACTTAGTTTTTTTCAAGTCGATCTCGATTTTTCCATCGGAATTGATGTTGCAGGTTTTCATTGGGTAAGGACGTATGTGATTTATGTTTTAAATTTCATTTCTGAAAAAGCAAAAAGGATTTACAGATGTAAGTTGATCTCAAAACACAAATTTTTTTGAATTCCTCCATGGGCCACAGAATTTTATAGGGCGGGCTGTGGGTTGGACATCCCTGATATAGAGGACTACCAAAAACATCTGTTCATAGCTTTTCAAGTATATAAATATCTGAAAATGTGATTTTCTGTAGTTCACCTGGATCTCTAGGTATTACATATAATCTGCTTTTATAAAAAAAAGAATGTAAAGGAAGTATGCTGAAGTATTTACACTGTTGAATATTAAAATTACTGTGCCATAAAGGAAAGCATTTAGCAGAATCATGTTTACATTACAAATACATCATAATGAAAGGATGAAGTAATTGGAATTGCGGGTAACTTTAAAGTGCAGAACATGCAGAAATCAGTATCTTGAGTATCAGTCTATGGTAAGTTTTATATGGCTAGAACATAGTATCAGACTGTAGGTAACAGTTACCTGCAAGTGTTGTGCATACTAGCTGCAGATATGCTAATCTTTCTGCAACTGTTTATCAGATGTTTGCAATACGTGGGAGAACTGAAGGAATATACAGCCAAGGCAAGGAGTTGAATACTCAATGTGATGAGGACACGTAGGACATCGTGGGCAACACGCAATCTCGTATCATCATGTTGAAAGATGGTGCAGTGACTGCCCTGAATATGTGGCAACAACTATTAAAACTCGTTAAAGAATTGAGGATTCAATAAGTTTTCATTGTCTTCCAGCAGATGGTATTACGAGAAGTATGTGTATGTAATTTAAGATCCTGATGCATCTGTATGTTGTATAGTATTGCAGCAAGCTTAAATTCAGTGTATATCATTTCATTAAATCATAAACATTTGTTTTTTGTTTTTCACTTTGCTAAACATGGAGATTTTGAGCCAAAAAAAAGTATTTGCACAGAATGCTACTGCATTGCTATATACATAAAGTAATAATAATAAATCTGAAGCTAAAGCAAACAGAATTCTTTAGATGCTTAAAAAATAGTAATTTTGATGTTGCATGTAAAGAACAATCTGAAAAAATCGGATGTATTACTGTATATGCAAAATTGCCAGATGCTAGCAAAATCATCAGGAGTTGATCACGCAACAGTTTCAAAACATTTGAAAGCATTAGGAATTATTCAACAGCGATGTCATTGGGTGGCATCCAGTTCAAGCCAGGAGACATCGAACAGTGCCTTTTCACTTGTGAACAACAGTTGCTTCAACTGGAGAAAGGGCAAGGTTTTTTTTTTTTTTTTTTTTTTTTTTTTTTTTTTTTTTTTTGTACGGTTTTGTGACTGAAAAATGGATCTACTGTGATAACTCTAAGCATAAAAAGTCGTAGGGTAAACCTGACCATGTATCAACATCGTCATGAAAACCAAATATCCGTTGTTCCAAATTTTTGCTCTGCATTTGGTGGAATTAGCTGGGCTGGCAACATCTAACAGAGTGTGACTGGCCTTAGCCATTGGTATACATTCTGTTTACCTGTATCACAAAGAGTAGAAGTGAACAGAATGTGTACCAATGGCATCCCATATATCTTCAATCCAAATGTAGAGTTCGTATAACAACAAACACAATAAAATTATACAGAAGAAAGGTTTCATTGAAAGTTATTGTACAAGTCTAGTAATTTCAGGATATTGCACTCTTCACAAAAACATAATTTGTAATGTGAGTAAACAGTTGATGTCAACATACTCATAAATATGTTAAGTTAATGCTTAAGGTACTGTATGTATTTTAGCACATCATAAGCAGGAGACAGCTAAACTCATTTTGAGCATATGGTTAAAGTGTGTGGAAACAACTAAGCGAGTTTTGTGCAAATTGTTATTAACCCCTTCTTTGTCGAATTCCCCCGAATTTTCTGAACCCAAAAAAGCATTTTTTTAATTTCTGAAAGTCAATATATGATCTATCCTAAATTCGAAACTGCAAAATATTTTTAACAGTAAGCAGTTTTTGATGGACCTATGGGTGGTCAAATATGTGATATCCCGTCCACCGGCAGGTTTCTCTGCCATGCACCAACTTTTAAATTTAAAAAAAAATACAGTGTGATACTATATTTATTAACTCTATTGTTTTGATGTGTTTAATATAAGTATCCACATAAAAATAATTATGCAAATTATGTAAAAAATGCTTTAGAAAATGGATTTCAAACCTTACTGTTAAAACAGCTTTTCGATCTGCTTTAAACATCAAAGCATAAAAACCACATTTATCACAAAACCAAAATCATTTACTCAATCAAAAAAAAAAAAAAAAATTCTTTGCTTACTTTATCAAAAAAAGTTGGCTATAAATATAAAAAAATATTTCGAGGGATTTTTTTAAATTCAAACTCTAACAGATATTGCTTGGATATTCAATAACAGATATCCAAAGTGGAAAATCTCACTTTGAAAATTGTGAAGAAACTAGGACTAGTTGTGCTATCTCTTAGCAGTATTCAGAAATACAAAATTAATAGCGGAATTTAAAGCAATGTATGAATATCGATGAATTCAGTTTCAACGATGGAATTTTTCACTTCATCAAATGGCATGTGATGTCAATCTTACAGGTACAAAATTGCCAAATGTATGAGATGCGACACCAACCAAGAACGGATTAAAGCATGAGATATGATAAAATGCATCTTCTATGAATTATGGGAGCTTTTTGGTGACAGAGTAATTTTTTAATGCAAATTTTAAAAACAGACCATAGTAGAACAGAGTGTGATGATGAAGAATTGTGTGCAGATAGTTATCGAATTCTTTATAGATATTCGAATATATCGAATTCCTATCAAATTCTTCCTGTGAAAATGAGCTTACTGGTGATGATTCTAGTAGCAATGAAATTATGCAACGTCCTAAGATTTTTTTTTCTACCCGAGAATTTTAAACAGTTCTGATTCAAGCCCGGATTCAGAGGATTCTGATTCTGAAGGAGTATGGTCATCAGTAGACAATCCATCAGTCTTAGAAGAGTATAGGCCACTCAGGAATAAATACAAAAAATGTTCTGGATAGTGTACATGCTATCAAATTTATCACTGAAAGCACCATGGAAAAGGCGAAGTTGAGGTAGTAAAATTGCATTAGTGTGTTTTTGACTGGTTACACAGGGATGTGCTGCCATTGATTATGATGTCGGCTCATTATGATGATACTACGTGTTGGATATCAGTTTCTTTCCTGGATATTTTCTGGACGGTAAGCAGTAACACCCTCATGTTAGATTAGATCATTTGGCATCTATAAGCCAATGACAGATTCAAGCTACTGAGCATATTACACAAGCCCAGTCCTATTCAATCCATTCACGATGCTGATGACATCATTGCAGATGGGCAGTACGGTGCTGTCTGAACCATAGGACACACTCAACAGATCTATGGGTGTATAGTCCTCCTCTCAAATGTTCAAGATATCTACTGCCCTATGGCAGCAAGAAATTTATTTGCCACCACTGAGCTGTGATGTGCCAGTTTCTTTTTGCCAGTAGAGTAATGTGTCCAGTAGAGTAACATATTGTTAACATCTGGCATTAAAAAAAGCAACAAAATATCATTCTATTGGGAGACTTTCCATGGACATAAAAAAACATACAGTAGAACCCATCATGGGAACTAAGGGGAAAAAAAAAAAAACTTTACGACAATGTTTTGTGTGCTCTATCAAGAAAATAACCTATGTATTGTGGTATATGTGTAAATTTTGATATAGCTTTGGACAAAAGGGCTTTGAAAGATAACATGCTTTAAAACATTATTAAATTCTTTGTTTTTGGGAAAAAATTTTAGCTGTTTAACAGACAGTGGTTTTACTATAAAGCAGAAATAATTTGCCCACAAATTACAAAAAATAAATAAATAAATAAATAAATAAAAATAAAAATAAAAATAAAAAATCAAGGACTGTATGGTGAGAATTTAAAATGTGTACATCTGCTCAAGATGTGTTATTTTACTTTTGCACTACTTGAAACAGCAAAGTTTCTTCTTATATAATACTAGATATTGCATTTTTAAAAACATCTTTTGTCTCTTGCAATTGATAAACACAATTACATTTTAAATTAAATTGAAGGTTAAATTGTTGTAGGAAAATAAAACATATTTAATATTTCCTATGCTGTAGGAAGTTTTGAGTTTTAAGTATCATATTTTTATTGTCCTGCACTTCATTTGTTCTTTTATTTATAATGATATTCTCAAGGATGACAAATATCTGAAATTCCATTGTATAAAACAAATTATAAGTATCTATACATAAAGGAAAGTTTAAAAAGCTATTTTAACTGTTTTTTAAACAAAATGTTCAAATTTAGTATTAAAAACAAGAAATAAATAATTTTCAGTCTAGTCTTCTTTTTCTTCTTTCCTTCCCCCTGCTAATGGGCTTATATGACTGAAAGATCAGTGTTCATAGTATACTTTATGAACATATGGTAATTCAGTATTTGACTTCTGTTAAAATCTATACAAAAACTAAGTTCTTGGAAACTATTTTGGCATTTTGATGTAAATATGTCAGTCTTAGACTTCAGAGTTATGATCATATAAACTTTCTGATTATTTATTTTTATAAAGGTTTTCAGAATTCAGAAGTAGATCACAGTATATAAAATTTCCATTTTAAAATACCTTTAAATACTTCTGCAAATAAAAAAGAAATAAAACATTTCATCCATAATCATACAATCATACTAAAGTGTTTTTTTTTTTTTTTTTTTAATATATATAGGCCTCCTCTTGTAAAAGTGTGTGAAAAGGTTATGATTCCTCAAGAAGAACATCCTGATATCAACTTTGTCGGTCTACTTATAGGTCCACGTGGAAATACTCTAAAATCAATGGAGAAAGAAGTAAGCTGTTTTAAAATTATTACATGGATGATTTTATTGTGATTTGTCCAAAATGTTTTTGTTATCATCTTGCACAAGATTTATTATAGTTGCAAAGACCTGCAATATTTATATTTAATGATTAAATAAATATAAAGTTGATTCGGAAACTAACCTCTGTTGTGGTGTGGCACTAGTAGTAGTGGGCGGAGTGCAACCATTGTTATATCAAACAATCTGTGATTCTAGTAAGTGTCATAATGCTGCACGTATGCTGGTTATAATGTCACAAAATGTGCATTGCTATTGAAAATCCCGCCAAATGTGAGGTAAGAGGAGTAATATGATTTCTTTGAGCAAAGAAACTGTTAGCGGCAGAAATTCATTGTGAATTGTGTGCCGTATATGGCTCAAACATTATGAGTGAAGGTGTAATGAATCAGTGGGTGAGATTTTTCGAATATTTAATTAAGTAGGTTTTGTAAATTCAAAGAGAGTAGAACAAATGATGAATTGGGGACTGTCTGTAGTGAGTGATGATCTTGTCAGACAAACTGATGACAAAATCGGATTCGTCAATTCACAATCTCGGAACTTTCAGAACATTTCCTGGATTGTTTTATACGAGGTAGTCATTGCAAAATTAGGCTATCAGAAGTTCTCTGCTCAAAGGGTACCGGAAATTTTCAAGGAGATCCACAAAATCAATTGAATGGGCCCTGCTTAAAACTTTTTTTTTTTTCTTAGTACCATATGGAAGTGGATATTTTCAGAACAGAATAATGATCGGTGTCAAGACTTGGGTAGCGCATGTAAATGCTCAGACAAAAAAAACAGTCAGTGGCATGGGATCATATTGGTTCTCCAACTTGCAAGGAAGGCTATGGTCACCATGTTATGCGATGCTATAACACTTTGAGAAAACTGAAAATGTACATAGTGACTATGTTGAAAAATAAAGGACAGCTATGCCTTTCAGACGTAAATTAAAAAAAAAAAAAAAAAAAATGTTGATTCTATGTGGGTTTTTTACTTCCTTGTACGAATTAAAAAGGAAGTATTGTAATCGCGAAAAGTTTCGGGTATCATATTTCAACGAAAATATCCATTTTGACCACTATCGAATGCAATTTAATGATGTTTTTCCGTGATATCTGTATGTAAGGACAGAATGAAATACTCTTTTCCTCCAAAAAAATTATAAAACTGCCTTAAAATTAATTCTGAAAATAATTTTTCGTGGCGTCTGTACGTACGTACGTATCTTGCATAACTCAAAAACGAGTAGCCTCAGAACGTTTTGTATATAGGGCTGCTGTACCATGTAGATGTGCATCTCGTATTTTGGTTGCAATCGGCCGCGCCAAACCTATATAAATATATTTATATATATATCCACTCTGTTACCTGGCTCAGTGATCTCAGTTTTTTTACTCTTATATGTTTGTAAATTGTACATTTTTTGCTTTAAAAATGATTGAATTATGTTGTTCTTATCTTCCGGTTAAAGTTTTTATGCCTTTAGTAAATTTGTATGCAATATTTTTAGAATTATCGACAATTTTAAAGTTGTTTAAGTGCCGCTAAGCCCAACAATTTTTTTGATGGTGGTCATTGCTTGTTTACATTTTGAAACAGCAGGATAGTGGATTTGTTGCCAATCTAGAGAAACTTAGCTTCGCAACAACAAAGATAACGCCTTCATTTATTATTGCGAATGAAATCATGCTTAATCCTTTCTGGAATTTTTTCCAGAAAATAAGTGTTTAAGATTTACTTCGTAATTTTTAATATAGATATTTTGAGTTTAATGTATTTTTGCCTTGTCGCAAAGTGAAAACTGAATTAATTGAATGAGAAATACTCAATCGTCTGTGTAAAACTGTTTCTTTTTTGTTTTGTTTGCTTAATTTCTTTTATACATCGTTCTAGCTTTATTATGGTATTTGAATAGAACATGTGGCAATGATTAGATAATTCTTTAAATGATATAAATTTTGTGCATTCTGAGTTATAATGTGAACAAAATATAATACTGTTAAGTGAACCTAGCACCAGTGTGTTCCTATAATAAACAAATATAATGAATTTTAAAGAATGCATTTATTCTATTGTGGTTTATGTGCTGTCGGCGAAGTAGATTTAATTCACTCCAATAAGTTTAAATGAAGTGCAGGAAAAAATGCGTATAATTTAATATACCGTACAAGGAAGTTTTGTGGTGTACACATCAGATTTTTTTATTTACAGAAAAATGGAGGTTAGTTTCTAAATTGCCCTCATGTAATTTTTCCTCATTTTTAATTAAAGCTGCATTTATGGTTTTCCAAGTTCAGCTAGTTTCAGCACTTTTTAAAACATACATAAAAATATTACATTAAGTGGGTATGTAAATTTAGGTATTTTTACACATCATATTTAGAAACTGTTTATTTAAATATCTTTTGATAATACAAATGTCCAGATTTTCTTACCTTCAAATTCCCATAATAAAATGCTAATTTGATACTTAAAAAAAGGATACGAATTTTTGTGTCTTCAAATTTGCATATATTTATATAACTATGCAAACTCGAAGTTATGTCTATTGAAGCTAGGATTTAATGTAATTAGCTATATATGTCTGTCTGATAAATTATTCATTTCTTTTTATTCTAAAGACAGGAGCAAAAATTATCATTCGGGGGAAAGGTTCAGTGAAAGAAGGTAAAGTAGGACGTAAAGATGGACAACCTCTTCCTGGGGAAGATGAACCTTTGCATGCTTTTGTCACGGGTAATAGCAATGAAAGTGTGAAGAAGGCTGTAAATAAGGTATGTTTTCTCTCCCTTATTTCAGGTTTATTAACCCTTTGACTAAAGCTGTTTACTCCACTGTAGCATCACCACTTAATTGGGTCACCTCATCAAAAACCTATGCATGGGCATGGAGAGTCTATAGCATTAAATTTTTTGTTTTATTTTGGAAGAAAAGGGATATTTCTGTAAAACAAGCTAAAATTTGAACAAAAACCGCGTTTGCTTTTATTAAAACACTTTGAATTTGTATTACACAGTGTAAATTAATGCATTTAATAATTATTTAAAAATTGTGGGAGCAAAGCATAGTTTAGTGACCACAGCTGCAACCATGAATAAAAATGTAACAGGTGCTTAGATTGTGAATCATTTATAATGGAGATTTTTTCCCTGTTACTTAAAGTACTGGCTGGAAAGCTAAAAGTCCTCTCGAGAGTTTTACTGGTAGAGAAAGAGGATTTGAGAGATCCTTATAAGCTCTCCAGCAAAATTAATGCAGAGCTGTACGGATAGTGTGATGAAATGATACCTTTACAATCTGTGGTAAAATTCTGGTGTCTCGCCCTCTTCCTGTCCTCTTTATTTCCACAGCTTTCAAAAAGTACAGATTTAAGGAGGCAGAAAATTACTTTTAGAAATCTAAGCTGATTTGCTGATGTTATTTATATTTAACTGTTTGCTACATTATGTTTAATTTTGTGCAGTTATTTATTGGTAAAAATGCTACTGTCCTGAAAATGTAGTTTTGCTATACATATATAATTTTATGATAAAATGTATTAAAATAACTACTAACATAATAATATAATAATAAATTATTATTTTAATTATATTGTAATTATTATATTTCTTTTTTGTCTTTGTACTAAATTCTCTATGCATTATTACATACTGGTGAAAAGAAAGAAATTTCTTGATAATCATGTACACTAATTATGCATTGAGAAATGATTGTTATATTTATCTAATTAATTATAATAATAATATTAAAGTAATTAATTGCTATATCTTTTTAATTTTTGTGGTAAAATATATTGTGCATATTTGGGTGGAGCCAAAGAATATAGTTTGATGATTTTTAGTATTTTAAAAAGTAAAGAGATGAAATATATTTGCATTGTTTATATAAAATTCGAAAATTATGAAAAAAGTTTATTCAAAATTCTTGGTCCAACAGAGGCTGCAAAGGGGTGGAAACTGTACCATATATGTTTCTTATATCAACCAAAAGTATGAAAGGCAGCTGATGATAGGATGAGCACAAGGGCTTTCCATCCCTTGGCAGTAAATTCTCTGTTTCCAGTGAAAAGAGGATTCCCATGTGGTCTCTTATCTGCATGATATTTTATTAACACCCCTTTTGAGTGGCTTAAAGTGTTTTGCCAGAGAGCCAGTCAAAGTTACATTTACAGTGGTTGAACTGTATACACTATAATATAACAATGTAATTTGGTGCGATATATTTTGAAACAGAAATCATCACATTGATTAAAGTTATTCTCATTTATTGTTTTTCATATGGATAGTACTTTTGTAATGCCCACCTCCCACACCTGGGTGTTCATGAAACAAGAGAAAATCTCTTCTCTTAAATCTTATGGTTGTTGCTGAATGTAATAAAATGATGGGCTATTGGGTTATCTGGAAAGTTCTGTAGTTTTTCGAATCGAAGCATATTTTCTTCTAATTATTTCATTACTGCTGATTAGGAGTGACGTTGGTCAAATGAGATGTTTAAATGTGAACTCTTCTGTTCACATTGCATAATTCTGTCATATGTTGTGGAATAATTTTCGTTTCCATGCAGTGCTTGAATGGAGAAACCAAAAGTTTATTTTCATCATATTATGCTTTTTTCTTTTAAAAAAAGGAAAACGTATTAGTGAAACTGCTTTTAATATTCGTGCTATGCATGAACAAAGTGTTGCTTCTGATGACACAGTTCAGATGTGATTTCAGAAGTACAGAAATTTCAGTCTTGCAGATGATGCCTGCTTTGAGCGATCTTTCTTTGTGAACAAGGTCTTCATAAAAGAAGTTATTACTGAAAATCTACATTGTACATCTAAAGAATGACCTTACAGACTAAATACTCCAAAAATAAGTTCATGATCATTTGAAGTAGATTGCTGTGATGTAAAGGTATCCCATACTTAACAGAGCAGAATATGCTTAATTACTTGAGTTTGGACATGTGATTCTTCGCTGAAAAGGAATAAAGGTGTTTTTTTTTTTTTTTTTTTTTTTTTTTTTTTTTTTTTTTTTGGAAACGGCACATTACTAAATATGAAAAGTGAATTCAGTACAATGTTGCAAGAAAAGATCATAGTGTAAGACAAAAACAAAAAACCTCCATTAGTAATATGGAAGGGAGAAACTCTTGCCTACAAAAAACTTCCCCCGACACGAATTATGCATATGAATCAAAAAGAAACTAGATACTATTTATAAATAATACTAAAAGGGCAAGTAAATAGTAAGTCTTAATTTAACTTACTAACTATATTTGTATTTGGAGAGTGGAGCAGCATGCCAAACTAAGTGATGTGAAGTAATGTGTTTGTTCTAACTTTATAAATAGAGGGCGCTAATATAAGGTTAAGTTGAGTGTTAAGCTGCTATCTGTCAGATTTATTTTAAAAACATATTCTGTAGACTTAAAATAATGTAAAATGTGTGCTCTGTTGCAAAAATTGTGTACTAACTGTGAAGTATTGTAAAAATACTTCACACACACACACACACATATATATATAATTACAAAACAATTCTTTTGAAAGCAAAACACAAACATGCCTAGTATTTTCACACATTAAGCTGCAGAAAAATTATCATTAAAGGCATAAAGTAAGAAATTTAGAACTACTATTTCACAAAAACTTTAAATTCATCATTAATAAATTTCAAATAATCATATAAATGCAACAAATAATTTTGAAATGTTAATACCAAAACATTTCAAACTATATATATAATCTTAAAATAAATCCATCTCACAGTAATAAATAATGAACAGCTTCTTTTCATGTCTATCCCTGTTCACTGGAATAAATTGTTTGAAAAATTGTCTGCCTTTGTATTGGAGCAAACTTTCATTTATACACATGTTATTTTACGTATAAAATGAATTAACAAATGGTCATGGTACTTTTTCTGTTAATAACTGGAATTAGACACATTATTGTCACCAAAATGTATCATTAGTAGCAGTAGTAATAGTTTCTGTTCATTATTTCACAAAAAATATTACTTTTCAGTGGCTTATGCATACTCTAGCATTCTGCTAATGATAGTTTCTTATTTCGTCTCATTAAAAAGGAGACTGTGAAGCATTATAATTCACTTAGCTTCATACTGAGTTGTTATTGCTCTTTGGTTACCAGTAGTTGTTCATCTTCTCAACAAAAACTGTATCAGTTTTTATAGATAAATAACTGAAAATAATTAAAATTTTTTAAATAAATATTTTATGCCTGCTTGAAATCTTTGCGGTAAAGTTTATGAATTTTTGTTCTGAAGTTTGCCAGCATCTGAATAATATTTTGCAAAACGGTAAAGTTTACACATAATTATCCTTTATTTCTTATTATATACTTACTACATTTAATTGTGTGTTTTTTTCCTTGCAATATGATATTTCTTTATTTGATTCATTTAGCTACAGCTATTTAATTCAGTTTCTAATTTATCTGATGTGTAGTCAACTGTAACTTCTTGAGCTTTCTTGAAAAGGCAGAATTTGAAACTTCTATCAGAACAAAAAGCAAATTCTGTTCTCTATAGAGGGTTTCTTAAACTTTTTTTCAGTCGAAATTTTTTTCTTTGTCTGTATTGTCTTATCTTTATCTATTTTAAGATACATTGTATAAAAATATTTGGTAATTGTAAAATTATAATAAATTAAAGAAATATCAAAACTGCTAAGATATTTGGTGACCTCCTGTTGCAGGTCGCGACCCACAGTTTAAGAAACCCTGCTCTCTATAGTATATAAAACTAACAAAAATATCAAAGGAAAAAAAAAAAAAAAAATGGCATATTTTTTCTTGAAAGCACCAGTGTGTAAACATCAAAGGTGTGCCAAAAAAAAAAAGCATTTTGTAGTTGATGACTTTGGCATTGGACAGGAAACAAATATGAATAGAAAAATGGTGTGCATTAAGAGTTATGCAGTGTGTGTGTATTAAAAAAAAAGGATAGGAAATTTTACTGTGGAAAAGTGAGTGAAAATTTGTACATGTGGTGTATACAATTCAGAGAGAAAGGTGCACTTCTATTTTCAGGTCCTGTTTTATACCAGAAACCATTGCATTTCAATAGTGATTTCAATGAAGAATACCCAGATTTTAATTCAAGTGTCAGTTGTCATCAACGAAAGAAATGCTATAGCATCCAAGACCATCCCAAGAGTTTGGGGTGAAAAACTGTTGTCAAAATTTGAAGAAATTGAAGCATTCAAGAAAGCATTTCAGTAATTAATTAAGTAGAAAACTTAATGGATGATCAGATATTTAACTATGGTCAGTCAAGCCGTAATTATAAAATGTTGCCTAGCAAGAGTCTTGTAGACAGAACTGAAGTGGCAGCTCTTGTCTATAAGCATAAAAAGGAAAGGGGGACAATTTTAGTGAGTAGTAATTCTACAGCAGATGTCAAAATACACCTTCTAATGATTGGAAAGTACCAAAATCCTGGAACCTTTAAAACAGCTTTAAAAGATGCTCTTTGTGTAAAATATTGTTATCAGAAAAGTACATGAATGAGCAGTGCAATTTTCGAAAAAAGACTGGTTCTTTAACACTTTCATCGCAGCAGTGGCGTGCCTTTGTCCCACCCTCTGCGGCGCTTTTCGCAGCTCTAAAATTGAAACAAAACACAAATTCCTTTAAAACTTGTTTATTTTACTTTGAAAAATAATAATCGATTGTAGTCAATAACAGTTCTCACCATAATGATTTATTTGTGTTTATCGACATAAAAATGATAAAATAAAAAATAAAAATCCTAAATAATTAGAAATTAGGATCTCTCTGAATTATGTTATTTTTCAAAACAAACTACTACACTTAATGCTGGCTTTGATGTGCATGTTTTGCACAGATAATGAGTCTCTTGGTGAATTTTGTGTGAATTACATATGATGCACTTCCGTGTTGGCGTAGCTTTACTTGAGGTTGCTGTTATTATGTCCGAGTAATGTTGTCCTTTCATGCGCTACATATTGGAGAATGCAAGCAGTTGACGCCACACATTTGTTAATTATAATCCAGAACACAGTTTGGCTTGATGATGATTTCCCCTTTTCGATTTTTTTATTGGTGTTCTTCATTTTAGCTGAGTGCTTGAGGAATTCATGCTTATCCCTCCATTTCATTACTACTGTACGATCCTTTCAGTACGTGACAGTTTCTCCTCGTTTTAGCTTTGTTTTCTCAACTTGTTTGGGCAGATATTTTCTATGTGATCGCAATGTTCCGCATAACTTTTTTTTTTTTTAAGGAGCTTTTTTACCAGTGGAATACTTGTATAATAATTGTCTTTGTAAAGCGCATGTCTTTTGTTTAGGAGTTGGCCCATTAAACTCATCACTACGCTTTCAGTGTGACCTAATCCTGGCATAGGCTCCATCGTACCACAATAGACAAGTATGTTCCATACATAACCAATTGACTCACAGAGCATGTAAAATTCTACGCCATACTTGTGCTGTTTTCCTGGAATATATTGCTGAAAAACAAGCCGTCTACACCATAAAACTATCGACTCATTTTTTGAAAGTTCTTTCGTGGTGTTTACATTTTTAAAAAATTATCCAGGAGAGCATTACAGATCTTTTACAACTTGTGCAGCCTATTCTCATTGGCTTCTTCATTGTTGCTAAAGTGCCAAAACTTTAGTAAGAGCTCAAATTGGTCTCTTGCCATGGTGTCGCTAAAATTTGGTGTTGCTAACACGGAATCGCTTGACCAGTAGTTTTCAAGACAAGACTTTTGATAAGTCCCATTGCAAAAATGAGTCCCAAAAGTTTCTCCATTTCTATGGAATCTGTTGGTTTTTAACGATGTACGCGACTTTTCAGTTTGGTTGTTGATTGATGTATAAATTCCTTCATGTACCTATTGGTTTCTGATACAAATATTTCGATAACTTCTTTAGTGACTAAATATACAAAAAGATTCTATTGGTCGCAAGGAGGCTGAGAGGCCTATACAATCAGAATGCATTATACCACTGCTACCCCAAAATTAATATCATTAGGCGGAGTGTAATTCATACCAACTTTACACACATCTTCTATTATTCTGTCTGTGATTGTTATGTCAGTATTCAAGCTAGTGGCACCCTGAAGTGAATCCATATTTGCTGCACTTACTTCAGCATCCAGTTCGGCATTTGTACTTGCTTGAATCATAAACACGGCTGCTAAGTTTACAACTGCTTTCCCTATCTGAGTCAATATCATCAGCAAGCTCTTCTTATAAATCAAGAAGCTGTAGTGCCTCATCAATCGAAAGAAATTTTCGTTTACTCATTTTAACTTTGGTCAAAAAGCGTAACAAATAGGCATAACTTCTGAGAAATATAATTAAAGTGAAAGCACTACAAATTGTGCTCCTGGCACCACCTTGTAAAAATGTTGTAAAGACAAAATATTAAGGTCTGCTGTATGCTAAAAGTTGATGAAATAAGTCGCGGGACACGCTGCAATAATATAGCAAAACCTTGAGTAGAGGATGAGTTATCTCGTCCTTCACAATGAAAGTACAAGGTGTGGCTGTTAATTTCCAGGATTGCTCTAATAACACCAGAACAAATGATGTGAAAAACGTAACCTTTTAATATGTTTCGACGTAATCCCCATCTGTCGTAATACACTTCCATGCTCGGCTGTATAAGTTGTGGAAACAACTTTTAAAGTCCTCTTTCGGAAGGCTCTTCAAGGTCAATGTCATGTTCTTCTTGATGTCTACAACATCCACAAAGCATGTTATCCTGTGATCATAGTTTTGAGTTTGGAAAACAAAACAAATACTGTGGGGGGGGGCAAGTCAGGAGAGTATGGCGGAGGATGCAGCTCCACGACCTCATGCTTGGCCAAAAACCTCTTCACTGGCAACACAGTGTGGGGGTGGGACATTAAGAAGAACATGATGTCGACTTGACATTGAAGAGCCTTCTGAAAGATGATTTTAAAAGTTGTTTAAACAAATTATACAGCCGAGCACAGAATTGTATTACGGCAGATGGGGGGATTACTTCGAAACATATTAAAATGTTACGTTTTTCATATCATCTGTTCTGGTGTTATTAGAGCAGTCCTGAAAATTAATAGCAACACCTTGTATTAAGGAATTGATTTCTTTAACATGGAAGTTTTTCAGAGAAAATTTATGTAGAAAAGCTGTTTTGCTGCTACATAATGCTGCAATGCACATTGATGTTGAGAAGCTCCACGGTGGTGATGTTAATGCAATGTTTCTGCCTCCCAATATAACCATCCTATGACAAGATATCGATCAGAATGTTTTAGGAACAGTGACAAGGAACTATCACAGGTAGCTACTGCCCATAGTAAAAGGAGAAACTGAAGAAAGACAAGACAGGATTGAAAAATTGAAACAATTGAAACAATTTCATTTAGAGGATGTTGCTTAGGGCTGCACAGTCGTGGATTGACGTAATAGCTACAGCAATTACCAAATTGTGGAAAAAGCTGCTAGGTGATGATGAAAGTATGAAAATGAAAAGCTTAAATGAAACAAAAGAAATTATAACCGATGAAGAAATTGTGGTTTTTAATCAAATGCGAACCAAACAGAATTGAAGGTTAAGAGCACCATCTGTTTTTAGCTTCACAGAATTTCACATAATGACCAGAGTTAAGGCTCTAGAAACAGCACTTAAATATATTGAGCAGCAAGACAAAGCTGCAGAAATGAGCATTATTCTTGCTGCAAAAATGGCAAGATTTGGCAGTGAAGAAATGGCGCTCGTTAAGAAAGTAGATTGATTGTTATAAAAAATTTCTGTCAATCATCACAGGACTGAATTTTTGAAGTTACTGTCTGTAGAATATTCGACGTCAGACAATATAAGTTCATTTTTTTGTTTTAAAATATGATTTTTAAGTTCAGAGTGTGTAAAATTATAGCATGTTTAGGTGTTTATTAAGTTTTTTTCCCTTAGTACATTCCTATTAGCCACTATTTTTGCTTATTCAACATTGTGCCAGCCAGCTTATGTTGGATAAGCAAGATGCTACTGTATTTTCTATATCAGCATAACTTATCACAAGACTTGATATATTTTTTTAGTAGTTATATTTACTTTTCTTCTTGTCTGAATTCTCTGACATACAAGAGTCTGTTGTCTGAATCATTATTTGTTTGTAGTCAGTGCCAAGATCATTACTATGCCTATTATCATAATTTTTCAAAATCGCTTCCAAATTGAATATTTTGGATTGAAATTTATTGGTTATGTTGAATAATAATTTCAAATTTAAAAAATGGGTCACTAAGCCAGTGGCCCAGATTACATTCACAACCTGATATATAAAAGAATTTTAATTCAAGTCTCATTCAGCATTTGATGCTCAATTCTGACTTTCAGGCATATATTTTGGCTTTATTTGTGCTCCTCAGTTCTAGCTTGTTATTCTTCCAAGAATGTATTAATAGGTAGATCTTAATTTAATTAGTACAGTATCAGGGAAAACTAATGCTCCATAGGATATGAGTAAGTGTATGTAAAACATAAAAATTATATTTTATTATTGAATGATTCATTTGTCAATCTAGATTCTGCATGTCAAATTTCTCTATAGCTGATTTGTTTTATAATCTAAGTGTCGTGTACAATAATGTTAATTTATTTATCCTTTGTTAACTTGTAATCCATGTTACTGTAAATTCACTATATTTAAAATAAATAAGGAAAGTTTGGCGTGATTGATTGTAACAAATTGGATACAGTATTTAAAATAGTTCATATAGTTCATTGAAATTCTTGAGATGCTTAACTTTTGCCTTCTATATATTCCAAGTCAAGAATTCATTTTAATTGTACAAAAAAAAATTGTGGTATATTTTGTATTCTTTACTAGTTTTCCTTTGGATATTTCTTTAGTTTTATTATTATTTAATATAAAAATAGGTTTCTGATTCTTTCGTTTTACTGCAAAGTATTTATCAAAACTAATTTAAAATGTTTTGGTCTGAGATAGTAAGATAGGTTTAACTTGTAGTAATAGGCATTTATATGTTAAATTTCAGATAAAGGAAATCATTCGACAAGGTGTAGAAGTTCCAGAAGGGCAGAATGATTTAAGAAGAATGCAACTGCGAGAGTTAGCTCTGCTGAATGGGACTTTGCGAGAAAATGATGGACCTCGTTGCACAAATTGTGGAGCTACTACTCACAGAAGTTGGCAGTGCCCTGACAAACCAAATGTTACAAATAATGTTATTTGTACAAATTGTGGTTCTGCCGGTCATATTGCTAAAGATTGTCGTGAACAAAAAAATCCAACTGGAGTGATGGGAGCTCCAGATAAAGCAAAAATTGATGAAGAGGTATAAACCTTTTTCAGACTGAATTTATAATTAAAAGTTAGGTAAAATGCACTATGAATGTTTAATATTAGTATTCTATCTAATACAAAATATATTTGTTCAAATAATCTTTGTTTCTCGGCAAATAATGTAAAAATTCAGAATATTAAAATGTATGGCATATAAGAGTATTGATAATATCAATTTCACAAAATGTTTACATTTATGTTATTTTTTAATATTAAGTTTAATCTCAAGTTATGAAATGTATATTGAACTGATTTTTAGTGATATCATTCTTTAATTTTCAGTCCTGGTGAAATTATGCATTTTATATAGTTATTTGTTATGAAAATCTTATATAATATGAAGGCTAAGCCAGTTTTTTTTTTAGAAGCCTTCCATGATAGCATAATTCTGTTTGCAAAATACTCTTATGTGTCTCAAAATGAATGCCTAATCTTTTTAAAAAGAATATGTATTGCTTTACTATTCAATCTTTAAACTGAATTCAGGCAGAGCAAATTAATCTTGTAATAAATGCCACTTGAAAGGGATGCATGTATTCCTTTTAACCACATAGTAGCATTTTGAGATTGTTCTCAATATATTGTTGTGAAGTATAATTTAAGAAATTGCCATCTTAAATATATTATGGTAGGTATGCTCTATTATGCTGTGTTAAGATGTTTTATTGTGTCATGCTGTACAAGATATTTGAAAGCTTTATTTCTTTAACTCTCTGAGCAGCATGGTTTTTTGGACCTATTGATGAAAAGCAATATGTAAACAACATTTGTTTGCTAGATGTGCATAATTGCTTTATTTGGTGTTTTTTTTCATAATCTTCTATTCATTAGTGCAATATTTAGATCATTAAAGAATATAAGAAAACAAAATACTTTAAATAACAGGTTAAAGTATACTAAGTGACAGAAAATTTCATGATCGGATAAAAGGAGTTTTGCTGCTCAGAGACTTTGGAATTTTTCCTAAATGTGTACTTTCAGTTACAAAGTTTCTTAAAATGAAATAATTAAGAAAAATTTCAGCACTGTTACTAAAACAGTTTTAAAAATGGAAAATTTAATTTTTTACAAGGTCTAGTGAAGCAAAAAGCCCAGCTAATAAAAAAATTAGTCATGCTATACAAGTTAAATACAAAAAGTTTTTTTGCTTCTATGTTTGTATCATAACTGCATACTGATTTTTAAGAACTTATTAAAAAATATTTTATTTTGGCTGAAAATATGCATCAGAAAATGATCTTAGCAAATTTATTTCATAATAGTTTAAATAAAAATTTTATAAATTTTACTTGTAGTATTATGGAACTTCCTTTATTTATTAAAATATGACGAATACAGAGGCTGTATGCACAGTTTTTAGATAACTTCGCTATATATATATAAAAAAAAAAAAAAAAAAATCTACTTGAAAATTTTTTGAAACTGCAACTATATTTTTGAAGGTATAAATTATCATCTGCTACCTGACATTTTTGTTTTAATGCAAATTGACACTTTTAAAGAAGTGGTGGATGGAAGGTTATATTTGTGTTCTTTCCTGAGAAAATTGTTCCTATGCAATTATTAAAAACCACTGTGAAAGCTATGGTTTTTCAATATATAAAGCTATGATAGATAATATTGTCAACAAGAAAGAAAAATAACGTCAAAGTTTTGCATCAAATGAAAAAGTTGTTCCAAATACACATCCAAGGAAGAAGATTTAAATCTTAAAAAGTCGAAAAAACATAAGGTCCGTTGTCTTTTTCTCTATGACATATCGCCAAATGCAGAACATGCTGCAGAATTCTTTATGAGAAGCAATGTTTCAAAGCATGTAAAGAAAGTTTTTCAAAGGGATTTATGCTTGTTAATGGGTTTTCGTATAACAGCAAAACAAAAATAAACAAAGTGGTGGAAAATGTTAAGCTTAACTCCACATATTATCAGAAGCATATTGTATACCTAATTTTCAAATACGAAATACCTTCTCTTTAGCTACAGTGCCATCAATCAGTAGAATTGCATCAAAACAAAGCAAGCAGTGATGCATCAAAATTCACTGTTGATTTCCTGGAAAAAATGGAACAAGATACCATTATCAGGGCCATAACCTTCACTTATATATCTACTAAATATTCTAATGTATCACCCATGGATTTTTGCACTTTTGGAATTTTAAAGAGCCGTTTGTCTAAACATCTACTTATAACCCTCCTTGGACTTAGCTATTCAAGAGGAACAGGATAAAACTTCTCTTCCAATATTGCGAAAAGCTTTGTTGCCTTAAAAATTATGGTGTAGAAACATAGTCAAGAATAAGGGCTATCAAACAAAGCATTAAAAACACAAAACTATTTGGTTATATATTTCTGTAAATATAACGAAAATCATCTAAAACATGTACAAACACCTTCTGTATTCTACTAATAGAAGTTTTTGCTTTATGGGACCATCTAAAATAAAATTTTGTATTCTTCAGACGGTTATCTTATGGTGTTAAATGAAACTGCCCTCGTAAAATTCTCTGCCTTATTTCAATGAAATTTGTAAACTGTGTATCTAAAAACAGTGTCTAAAAACTGTGTTCTGTAAGATTCAGAGCCATTTTACATTAGTTATGAAACATAAATTTAAGAACTGTAAAGACATTTCTGTCCTGACTCTTTCTGAAAATCAGATAGTTGTTAACAAATTCTTCATAATTCATAAAGAAGGCATTTATACTTGTTTTAAAAATGCAGTTTTGTATGCTTATCTTAATTATTTTTATAATACTTTTAAATATGTCTTTGATCTGCATGAGGCTGATAAATAGTAATAAGCATTCATAAAGAAAATTTTTTCATATGCAGAAACTTCTAGGCCTTTTCATCTTATTCTCTCTGCACAAGTTTTCCACCATTTCATTAGTTTAATATTCCCTCTGAGAAGGATTCTTTATCTTCCCATTTTCATCATTTCATAACAGTTGAAGTGGTTCTCTTACCCATTGGAAAATATTTTTCTTGGAAACATCACTTCGGTTTCTGGAAGGCGTGGAATTCAGTGTGCTGATAATATGGTTGATAGACTAATGAATTAAAGTGCAATTTCTCCAGAATCTGAAAATAATCCATAAAATGTCTGCAAAGTTAGAAAGGATACAAAACTCCAGTTTTTTACACATCCATTATCTCTAACATCCAGTCAGATTTGTATATATTGTCTTATATCTTTCTGTAGGAGGGAAAAAATCCTCCATATCTTAGGAGGTGCTTGCTATTATCTTTCCATTCTCTATTTCATTTTTTCAAAGTTTGTAATGACTAATTATTTTATTGCCTCCTTTGTTGTGTTTCTGGGTTGAACCACATTTGATTTTGTGTGGCTTAGCAAAATAGCAATTAACAGCAATCTTCCCTGGTCATTCATTTATATCTCTGATTAAGTGGTCTTAGAAATTGTACTGGTACTAGACTTTCTCATGGGCCTAGAATTCTATTCTTGAATGTATTCAGATGAGTATTGTTTGTTGTGATCCAATAATGATCTGCAAAAATCGGGTGAAGTTAATGCTTTATCAATAGTCATATTCACTGGCAGTCTTGAACATGATTGAAAAGAGAGGACTATGTCATAATAACTGAGTTGTACTGTAGATTTTTCAATAATGTTCATTTGTAATTATATGCAGTTAGAAGGATTTTTGATATATTAAGTAAATTTTTTTTTTAATGTTGTAGATTATTTATAAGGTTTCAGTTTCTTTGGTTTTTTCATTATATTTATGCTGATAAAATTGAAAAACAGAGGAACAAAGATTCGTTGCTAAACAATTACTTGTCTAACTAGAAGTTGCCAAACTTCCAGTAGCTTTAAGTGCAGTTGCATGGCATAGCTGTATGTATGATCGCTAGCAAAAACATTTATATGCAGTAGAATTTTAGAAATCCGCAACGCTTGGGACCAGAAGTTGTGCGGATTTTAGGATTTTGCGGATTTCAGGACAGAAAAGATAAAGCATAATATTCGGGCTAAAAGTGCAAAAATTAATAAGGCGTATTAGTTACATTTAATTAAATTATTATATACATTATTGCAATAATTTATTATATGCATTAAATTATTACATATATAAATTGATTATTCATTGTATTATATGTACACAGAATCGAGGTTTGCCGATTTCGCCTCATGCAAAGATTTCCGGTTTCGGATTCCAGTGTTAGAATCACTGTTGCTGTAAAATTTCAACAGCTTTTCTTCATTTTTCCATGTATAATACACAATCGTGTCGCAATTCCATACCATTCTGCTATAAATCGAGGAGTAGCACCTGCTTCCATCTTTTGCAGAATTTGCACTTTTTGCGTTACCGTCAATGCAACGTGTTTACGTTTTTCAACGTTGCAAGCAGCAAAATCACGAGTGTGTTTCTTATCTGTCATTGTATTAAAAAGGGCTGAAATTAAAAATATTCTTAATTTATCCACAAAATATCCAGATAAAAAAAAAAGGCAGCACTAAACAATCTCGTGAAATGAAATAACAAAGCTCAGAAAATACAGCAACATGAATCGTGAACTTGAACAAAGAGTTGAGTGAATCATCTGCTTTTTTACCTGGACGCAGATTAGAGGGAAAAAAACTTATTTATTTTATCTTATTTTTTAAACTTTTTTATATCAATAATCTGGTATTTCGTTTTGACTCATTCGGTAATTATGACATCATTATTCGGTAAGTATTTTTTCTTCGATATTTCGTACTCATTGTTGCAGTTTCCGGAACCTATAAACTGAATGTTTATATTCTGAGAGGCAATGCGGATTTCAGGTCAGCGGATTTTCGGTATTTGACTGTATTAATATTGTGGAAGTGTATGACCATCTTGCCACTAGGCTAATCCCCAAAAAAATTTGAATTAAACATTGATAATTGGAACCTTGCAAGAGATACTATCCGAAATTTTGGAGCAACTGAATGCACTTAATTTACATTGAATTTGTTATTGTTAAATGTAGATGTCAGACAATGTAAATAACAAACAGTTTATGCAACAATGTTGTGTGTTAACCACCATTAAACTCAACATTTTAGTCTTAGTTTCTGCAACTGTTGTTTTCTCAAGAAAATGTTTTACTTTCGTTTATAGCTGATGAAGGAAGCACGTTTTCTTGCTGTGAAGTATCAAACTGGTATATATCTTACCAAAAAATTTTTTGGACATGTTACCTTATAATGCAAAAAATCCAAAATTTACAATCTAAAAATTTGAAATTGCTGTTTAGCATCTCAAAAAAAAAAGTTTTCCGTAACAAATTGTAAAAGAAAAATCTAACAAATTTAAAAAACATGAGTCATGCAAATATTTTGCTTTTCTAAATTAAAAACTAAATCTTTAATATCAAGTAATATTAAAACTCATTTAATATGGAATTTAAATTTAAAAACTCTGGCATTTGTTTCTACATTTTTTTATCAGAAAGATCGGAATTATATAAAGCAGGATAAACAGAATATATATATATAAGGGTTTCTAAAATACATTGGTTTCTAGATTATTTTTTATAAAAAATTAATTTTTTTAAAAAAAGTTTAATACTTGACTTTACTTGCCTGTTTCTCAAAAGACTTCATTAGTATTTTCCTTTTAGAACTTTAATTCTTAAATGCTAATTTCTAAGGTTACCACTTTATTGGTATTTCTTTTTGGACATTCTTCACTTTTTACTTTTGGTTTTGACTTTTACCCTTGCCTACAAGAATGACGAAACACGAATTGAATGATTGGAGAGTTAGGTTTGAAGGCAACTTTCCCTTGATAAGTCTGTCTCCTGCCTGCTCAACAGTCATTCACTTATGCATTTTTAAAAAAAATTGTTTGGATTAATTTTAATTTGCTAAATTAGTGAATTTATTTTCATGGATATTAGTTTTGCACTTGATTTGCTTATGCTTCTGAATTTAAATGATATTGTAGATTAGTTCGAGAATTAAGTATTTTATATGTTTGCACTTTTTTTAAAATTATTTTGGCTTTAAATTTGCTTTTTTTTTTTTTTTTTTTTTTTTTTTTTTTTGTTAAATTTTGTCTTTAAATTTGCTTTTTTACTTTTATATGTGTTTGTTAAAATTTAAATTATTTAATTAAATTTATTTAAATTAAATTCAATTTGTTGTTATATATATATATATATGGTTGTTTTTAGACATATTTTACAATGATTGTATTTAATACTTGAGGGCAGATTTTTATTCAATAATTATTTGGTTGGAAATATTTTCTGGTCTTTGTATTAATTATAGTGATTTTTACAACCTTTTATTATTTTGTTATTAAAAAATTGTATAATTTTGCTTGTTTTATCTCTTTTGTAAATTCAAAAAATGACTTGTATGTTGGGAATTTTCTATTTTCTGTAGTATATGTCATTAATGGCAGAACTTGGGGAAGGCCCGCCTGTTCCTAACAAGATGGGCTCTGTGGGATCAAGCACTCCATCTTCAGTAACACCACTGCAAGCACCACCAGGGCCACCTCGTGCAATTATGGCTCCACCACCATCAATATCAACAACACAATTCCAAGCCACAGTGAGTTCTTTATATTGCTTGAGATGTGCTAGAAATGTTGAAGGTTTATTAGAAACTTATATATTCAAACAAAATAACAACAAAGTAAAGTTGTAAAACAAAGTAAAATCGTAAATCAGTATTCTGCATCCATTTTCTGTCTTTTTGAAAATGTTTCATCATTTTTTAGTCCCTTTAGTTCTCTTCCCCCCTTACTTTTTAAAAAAATTATTATGTTAAACCCAATGTTCCCAAACTGGTGGCCTGTGAATGTATTTGTTGTTAATGTAGTTCTATAGTTTTAGAAACATAGATATATATATACTGAATTTATGTGTGTAATTGCTGTTGAAGGAAAAAGATAGGAAATCAGTGAGGGCTCTGTTACTGTATGGCATATATTACATAAAGCATAGGCTTGTATGCCAAACTGCGGGACTGGGGTAAGGTGGGAGAACTTCTTATGCTGGCACAATCAGTAAACTTAGTTTGCCAGCTGACAGTTGGGGATGCTTCATTTTTCTGGTGTTTCCAGTTTTTTTCCTATTGATTTTAGTTGGTTAGCTAGATGCATAGTTGTATTGTTCATTTACTGTATACTACATGAAGATAAACTGATGGACATTTTACAAAATCAGTTTATTTGTACTTTTTGTTAGATCTACATTACAACAAAATATATTTAGAATTTTGCATAACTTTTTAGTGTGGTTTTCATAAGAAAATTCATCTTGCTGGATATAAGTTGTAAATAAAGTTATAAAAGTAATTGTAATTAAGAGATAAACTGCAAGCCATGTTTATAAAAAAAACAAGTAAAAGAAAATTGGATGGCAAAGGATATACTTTTCAAGGTAAATTGAAAACTGTGTCTTTTTATGGTGATATATGCTAATAACATTGCATGTTTTATTTGTAATAAAGGAATATCAGCTCCAAAAAATGCAATTTATGTTGTCCCCAATTAAGTAAAGAACCTAATTGACTAATGAGCATCTGCTGCCTGTTATGAAGATACTGCTTTCCAATAATTTTTCTCCAAGGTTACAAACTTTATTAGGTCAAAACATCACTATATTATTGTCAAAAATAAGAAAGTTTATTTACTTCCAAGCATATGGTAATTTGTTGTTATTTATTTTGTCTAACCTGGAAAGTTTTCTCTGAAAACTTGAAAGACTTTTCATTGTGTAGCTTTAATGTAAATTATTTAGTAGTTTATTCCCAAAAATTTAGTATTTAGCTGTGGTATGTTTGAATTACAAAGCGTAACAAATTTCCTGCAAGTTAGATTTTGGACAAAAAATAAGCATAAATTAAAAATTTTTCCATTATGTTATTATTGTTGTTTATGGATGTTGGTAAATATTTAATAAGTAAAATTTAAGTTTTTTGTCTTTGTTTCAAGAAAATTTTTTTGAAATAAAAAATACAAATACCCAGATGCGATAAAATTACACATTCTTCATGTAGTATGAGTTTTAAATTACGAGTTTAATCTACTGAGCAACATTGTGTTTTGGATTTCCTTATAAAGAGCTGTATTTAAATATCATTTATTTGGCTAGATTTGTATAATTATTTAATCTGAATAATTTTATAACTTTTCATTTATTGGGATGAGATGATATTTATGTATTTATAATATTTAAAAAGCAAAGTAACAAATACCAAACAATAACAAATCTTATTATGAGATGAAAAGTGGTAATGCTACTGTAAGGATTGGGAGTATGCTTAATTTTATTTATTACTTTAAGTATAGTTTCTTGAAGGATAAATTATTTTTATAATTCTTATTGAAATTGTAGTAAAAAAAGGCTGTACATTTTCATGTGATAAATTAAAAGTTTGGCATGATATTCAGCACACAAAAGTGTGATATTGAAGTTTAATATGAAAGGAAAAGACTTTTAGCTTTGTTACACAGAAACAAAGAACTGAGGTTTCTTTCAGACATTCTGGAAATTATTGCAATCGATGTTCATTCTTATTTAAATATCTGCATTTTGGAATCTGACCTCATACCATATTTTTATAAAGCATATTCTATTAAATTTGAAATTCGTCTTAACATTACTTAATTTTTACAAACGTTATCTAATTCAGATTTCTAATATTATCTATATAATCTAAATATTATATAATTCAGAAATTTCCAAAAGGTATTATATTAATCATATAGATAAAAATATTTGAGTAATAAAAGAATTACTGTTTTTAGTCAATTTTAGAATGTGACACATGGTAAAGTAGCTACTTTTTTTTAAAAAAATTAATTACTGCAGATATTTCTCTTCAAGGGTATGTATTTAATATTCTGCCTGCAGTTGGCACAAAGCATTAAGCTGTGCTGTGCTACATCTGACGCAAAAATTCCAGGAATTATAAGATAATATTAATACTAAATGCTAAATTTTATTAAGTATATTGACTGCAAAGACTAATTTGTGGGTTTTAAATATCTATCCATCATCCATAACTGAAAGCTCAAGTCACCAGAATATTTTCAAATTTTAGAAGCTCTCTATCTTCCCCCCCCCCTTTTTTTTTTTTTTTTTTTGGTGTGTGTGTGCGTGTAAGATTAAGCAAACAAAGAGATTCAGAGTCAGTTTAATTTTTGTAAGAAAACAATATAAGTTAACACCTGTTTATTTGTTTTTCAATCACATTTTCAAAAAAAGTGATTAGAATTTCAGACTTGTCATCAACAGAAACCAGATCCTGACATCAAGAAAAGTGCCACTTATGTGAAAATGGATGAACATTGGTAGTGCAGTGTAAAAAAATTATGACAAACAATTTAAGTTTTCTATATGTTATATCCATATGTTTATTAACTAAATAAAGAGCAATCTGTTCCTTCAAATTTCTGCTAGAATGACTGGTGCAAGTTTGGTAAGATCTCTGCCAATTTTCATGATCAACAGAATTTTGTTTTGCTTCAGTGCTTATGTCTGGAATGTCCTTTTTTTCTTTCAAAATATTGCATAATTTAAATTTGAGCATTTGATATTCAAGTTGATACCAAATAAAATGACACTTTTTTTTTATAGTTTAAGACCAGAAAATTTTTCTTCCCTTCATTTGGCTTTTCTACTACAACTTGCATTTTTTATATGACCAGTTATCCAAAATTTTTACATATCCGGAATTTGGAATTTCCTGAGCTTTCTGGATAGTGAAATTTTGCATATTTATCAGTGGGAAGTACCATTTTTTAAATTTGTATAAAGGGGAAAAAAAAAAGTTTTTAATAAGGTTGCTTGAGTAAGCTACCAAATCAATCAGTACAAAGTAAAATGTATTGTTGTACTGCAATTAAAATATAAATCATTTAATTATTGCTTTTGCCCAGGAGTGTGTTCTGAATTTCAATGAAAAGCACATATGCTGCTCAGTGCCAAATTTTTAAATAATTATATTAATGTTTGGGAATTGGTATTAATATGTATTTCAAACTTGGCTGTATTATTTGTAAGTGAAACTTTGGGGAATATCATGTAGCATATTAAATAATGAAGTGTGCATGTCTTTCATCAGTTTTGAAAACTGAAGTGGAAATTGTTATAAAATTTTAAAATTAGTTTCGAAGATTGTTAAACAATTTATATAGTAACTACTGTTAAATTTTACTTGGTTTATGGAGATTACATTATAGTTTACATCTATATATAATCAGTTAGTCAATTATATTACTTAATTGTTGATTAATCTCATTAGTGAGAAAAAGTCATCCCACCGGTGCATTCGATCCTGATATTGGCAGAATAAGTTAAGTAAATGTTTTCACTCAAAAAGTTTTGAATATTGCTGCTTTTTTATAGATGGTATTAATTCACATATAGGTCCGTTTTCAATTTGAAGGGGAAAATAAAGTAAAATCATTTAAAATGTTTCATAGTATGGACTAGTGCTAAATTTATTTATTAATTGTTCAAAGTCCATTTTTCTGTAAATTTTACCAAAAACATTTTGGGAAAATTATGCTTGAAGAACAAATTTTCATTTCATTTAAAAAGCTCACAAATTCAGATTTAGGATAAAAACCAGACTTTTCGGTATTCTGTTTGCATTATTTATAATTTCACAATACATTTTTCCATTATCACACTTTTCAGTGCGTATTTTGTCTTTTGGAAAAAAAGTTCTTTCACTATTGTGTCCTGTTTGACTACACTTTTTAATTGAAATAAGCAGAGAATTGTTTAGTTTCTGTGATATTCACATAACTGCAATTTGTATCATTTGGAAATAATAAAAGATAGCCATGACAGCTTTGCTTCTCTTACCAGTTTTATGTAATTTTATGTATTTTTGGTATCAACATGCTGATTAAAATCTCTAAAGTAGCAGCTTTTATTAAAAAAATTTTATAATTTGTTATTTAAATAAAATTCATTACATTTAATAACTGCACCTTTATAAAGCTTTATGGGTATTTTCTGCTGATTTAAATAAAAACCTCTTCTAAATCATTCAAATGTGGAAAGCTTATAAACTTTTTCTAATATAAAGCACTTTTTTTTTTTTTTTTTTTTTATTTTTTTTATTTTTTTTTATTTTGGAATAACTACTAATAGCACAATGAAGTGGCTAAATTCATCTTTGATCTTTGTAACATATTTTGCCCCTCTGAAACAGCTGAAAAGAACCAAACAAAAAAATTTCTTTTTAACAACATAAATTACTAAATGGCTAATTTTTTAGCATTATATATTGTAAGAAAGTCTTTCACTTTAAATTTTTTAGTTACTACACATGCCTATTAAAAAAAAGCAAAGTCTTTAATTTTTAATGCCCCCTTCACACACAGGCAAAAATTTCAAAAGCTAAGTATCTGTTGAATAATATCTGGTACTTATTATCCAGTTGACCATAAAAGTTATCTAGCATCAAACCATCAGAGTTGGTGGAGATCCTGTCAATCATTCCTGCAAAATTTTTAAGGAATTCACATCTGTTTGTTAATAAAAAATCAATGTTCTATTGGTCCCCTCCCCGTCGCCACTTCAGAAAAA